AGGTTCCTGAAGAGGGCAAAGTCTGCTCTCTAAAAAAAAAAAAAGACATTATGTATTTGGGACAACACTTAGGGGTGTACCCCAGCTCAGGGCTGGTTTTACATTTACAGTTAGTTTGTAACTCTAGGCAAATCCATCCTACATGCACCTCTCCAATGCTGATGCCCAGAGTGTGCTTCAGGTGACCTTACCAGACCTTCCCATAGCACTTTCTGCCAAGTTTCTTCTCAACGGCTGTGGGTTGGTGATTTCATTTCCTCTTCGCGGATGTGGGTCCCAGCCAGCAGCTTGTGATGGGAAGTCCTAACACTCAGCAGGAGCAGCTCACCCAGTGCTCCCAACTGAGGTTCCTGCTGTTGATGGAAGCTTTTAGCCCCACATGACTTGCCTTGTAACCATACCAGTCTGCCCAGATCAAAGGAACAGCATCCATGAAAAGATGGCACTTAGTTCTTCCCATCTACCCTTTCCCACACAGCCCTCCTGTAACCTACAGCATCTTCCTGCGGATTCAGGGAGCATCAACACAGGCCCCAAGGCCAAATACCTTCCTATCCACTCACAACGCTAACTCAGACCAAAACTGACCCAGCAACATCCATTATAGTTCAGCAAGACACTGTTAAGGCTTATATACATGTTACAGAAGAACCCCTTGTAAATATTTGGTCTCCACCAAATTTTTACTCCCAGTTAGCTGAACTGTCTGCTGCTTACCGATGTTTTAAGAATGAGACAAAGAAATGCTCATACACTCGTGGTTAGAGAAAGCCTTACCGATTGCCCATGATTTATCCTCCCCAGGACCAATTCGGCATGGGTCTTTGTAGTGTGTAAACAGAGAATGCTGTTGCTCCAACTTGTCGTCTGCAGGGGAAGCACAAGCCCAAGAAAAGGTATATCAGCTACGTGTGGTGAACTTTGGACAACTGCTTGTTCTGCCACAACAGAGAACGCAAGTCCTTCTTCTTCGTCAATACATGTATGTACTGTTGATTTGAACCAGTTCAGTAGCAGCTGTACTGCACAGCACTGTCTTGTCTTGATCAGAAATCCCAGCAAATGCTTGCTAGGAGAGTGCTTTCCTACAGAGTCTTTCAGAGAAAGACATTTTCAGTAGTGTCTAGCAGTAAACTGAATAGAGTTTTCCAGCATATTTCTTTTCCTTGCCATTGGCATTGCATGACTTACACTGGGGCAAAATTTTAGTGGAGAATTGGACTGACTCTACAGTGGCAATGCGAATGCTTGTTGTGGGTGTATATACACATCTGAGTAAGTTCAAAGATAAAAGCTTGTGCTTTACTTGCTTCAGAAAAGTTCACTGAATGTTTTCCAAGCTCTAACAGATAAGAGGGACAGACAATTGATAATTTGCTTGGGATATTACCTATAGCATTAACGTCATTCTGAACATAATCATCATGACCTATCAACTTTAAATAAATTTCTTCCTAACTGCTGCTGTGCTCCTTGCATTTAGCACATCAAGCTCCTAGGATTATTTAGTAAGATATCCTACAAAAATGTGTATAGCAGAATTTCAGACACTGAACAAATGAGCAAGTTCTAGTTCTTTGTATGCTGTTTGACATAGCAGTCATTGTACCTGGGAAGCAAGCACAAGCAGAACTTGAACACACCACCTGCTACAATTCCATTTGTATTAAATGCCAAAGAAACTGGCACAGCTCCTGCTAACTTTCTCTCTTGCAGCACTTATACCTTTTACAAGGTTAAAACTTCTTAGCAACCCTTGAAGGCTCTCTATGGGACCAGCAGAATATTCACCTGTGTTTGGAGCTGCTGCTTTAAAGTACTTGTCACTGTCTATTGCCAAGACAACAGCATATGTAAGTACACATGAAAATGGACTCCTCTGAAGTGGGAAACAAAACTTTGAACTGTGACCTATGTATCTTAGCTAGAATGGAGATCACACACTGCAGGAATCACATCAGATCTCCTTGTGTGAAATGCTGTTCTTGCCAAGGGCAGAAGCTCTTGGCTTCTCCCAGTTATGAAGGAAGCAGAGCACAAACACGGAGTGCAGTAGTACTGTGTCCATAGCTGTAGGCATCTTTGCCATTTTCTTACTAGAGTCATTAATAGAGCTGACTGTCTTTCAGCTACTGCATCCAAACCAGCTGATCTATCTGTCTAGCTCCCCCCGCCACCTCCCCTAACTAGCTCTTGATCTTGAGAACATCTTCATAATCTTAGGGAGATTGAAAAATTAACTTGGCCAGGGTACCCTGGAGATGTGGCAGTGGATGGGAGGACTGACCTCTCAAGATTTGCCAGGGATGCAATGCAGAGAATTGCTTGTTCTGTCTGAACAGCCAATTGGTTTGTTTAATGTTTATGGAAAAGTAGATGATGAAACCTTTGTTCAGTTCATTTTTCCAGGTTTTCCCTTGTTATATGTCTACAAAATATCCCTCAAAACCAGAACAGATTAAAATTTTGTCATGACTGATTTGCAACTGTGACACTGACAGCAACAAGTTACAGCTGATGAGACAAACTTAACCCATCTGACTGGAAGGCTTTTTATCTTACGCTAAAAGGTTTAAAAACATTAACAGACTTCTACATATGTCAGTCAAAAGCAACCTGACCTTTCAAATAACGTTCCCACTAAGTGCATGAGTGTTGTCATAATGTTCTGTAAAGCTGGAAGGGAAAACTGAGTTGCAGAAAATTTGTCATAAGCATAAGGTCACTTATAGGCCTGGAGATCTTTGAAAACTGTTCTGTCATTACAGCTAAGAATAGAAGCTTGATATTCACTGGAACATTAATTACTTGCCATGTGAGTCTGTGGAGTGGGAAAGAATACAGAAAACCATACACAGAACCACAGAAAGCTGATAATTGCTTAAAAAAATTAATATGTTCAGTTCCCTGTAATGCTAATAAATGTCCCTAAAACAATGAGTAATGTAAAAATGGAAGAGAAGACTTAAAAACACTGTGTTAATCTTGCTTAGAGCACAAGGAAAGAAAGCAATCTAGAAATATAAAACAAAGTAGCCAACTTAATTTCAGTTCCCAGGCTGAGTGAATTTTAAAGGGGAGGGGGTTAAATAAGCAGCAGAGATAGATAGCAAAAATAAAATGGATTTTTATAATCTACTTATCAGTCCTCTTTAGTAGTAGTTGCAATGTTTACAACTATTATCTGCAAAAGCAAATAGTTGCAGGTCATAGCAGCATTAAGTATACCCTGTGCTTGTTGCACAAAATGTGAGTTAGAGTGCCAGAGCTTCTCAGGTGGAGAACACTGTCTACATTTTCTGCCTCTTCGCTTCACTCTTGTCTTTCTCCTCATGCTACACAGCACCATTCACTTCCCGTTTGCCACCTGGCTGGACAGTCTCCCCCTTCCTATTCAGCAGGGTTTTTTTTTTACCTTGATGGACATCTTTGCTTCCAGGCCACTCCATCCACCCAGCGGTACTGCAGGTGAAACAGCCACATCACAGATTTGACAGCAGATCTGGCTGTTCATGACCCCCAGCTTCTATCTCCCTTCACTGGCACTGCTCCAGTTGCCACCTCAGCCTGTCTGTATAGCAGCTTGACTAACTGAAGGCCTCTTACTGAGCACATTTCTTCCCTCCTTCCCTAAAAAACTCACTGTCACAGCTACCATTCTATTTTTCCCTAGTACATGTTAGTTTAACTACAATATTCTGTAGCCATTACCACTTACTGTTCACCTCCACAGTGCGTAACGGGTTCTTTTAGCAGTCAGAACACATGCCAGCACTTTCTCGGACCATTCTGAGTTTACTTTGGCTCATACAATTGTGACCCATTTATTTTTTGGTACATACGAGCTAGAAATGAACACCAGAAGGGCTGTGTTTTGGGTTGATGATCTCTTCTACCCTGCTCAGTGTTTCTCCAACTTTCCTAAAATCTTCTTTTACAAGTGTCCCAACAGCTCCAAGCCATTGAGTAAGGCCAGCAAGGAGCTCTGGTGGCTGCCTCAGCTGTTTTGAGCAGGAAGGCAGAAGGCATACACAAACACAGTGCTCTGCACTCTATATTAGCAATTTAACTGTTAGCAAAGTCTAATATTTATGTTTGGAAAAGGCTACCATCTCTCTGAACTCACCACCCATTAATTATTGTTTTGTGGAGTTCTTTTTCTAGTACCCTCAGCATCCAAATATAGAAAAAAAATTTATTAAAAAACCCCAGAAGTACACAGCATCAGTTAATTTTTTTCTAAGACTCATTCAGCAATGTTTAGTTCTCTGCAGCATTAATCTCCTGTTTGTTTATTTGCACTAATTAATTTTAACTGCATGAATTTACTTCTTTTTTCTCCACAAAAATCCCATAACATCCATGTCTTTCATTAGGAATTAAAATTCTAGTACAATAGATGTCTTTCTAATTCAAGTAAAGCTAAACCACTGGATCTGTCCTCATTATTGCTACCGGAAGTCACAAGTTATTGCCCTTTGTGCCTTAAAGGGCATGGTGCTTACTAAATCAGCAGAGCTGGTATGTGTGAGCTACCCTCCTGGGTTTATCTCAAGGCTAGTACCTCTGTTTGCTAGAGGTATCTGTAACAATTAAGTCTTTATTTGCAAAAACCAGTCACAGGTTCAGATATTGCTATAGCCTACAGGAATCAAGAACTCTCCTATTTCTTTCTGGAATAGGTAGACACCAGGAAAACAAAACCTTATCTTACCAGAGGAGCAGTTATCAAAGTTGAGATCTCCACAAATGACATCAAAAGCCACCAGCTCCTCTGGATTGGCTGTGCTGGAGGAGGAGGTAGATTTTCGGAATTCAGACAGCCAATCTTGAAGCATATCCAGTTGCTCACATCGAACAGTAGTATCTCCTGTAGCAAACAAATAAACATCCAAATAACCAAAACAAGACCTCCTTTTAGCAGGTTTCTCAGCCCCATGTTAGTTGCTAAGCTATTTGCTAGACATCTTGAGAAAAAGGGTGCAAGATAAAAAATGGTGTGGCTAATAGTATACTCAGCACATGGTGCGTAGCCCATTATGGAGTTCATTAGGAACCACACTTTTGATGATTTAAATACCTCCTCTTGGAGTCAATCTGGCAGGCATGTCAATTCTTCAGGCATGTGTGAAAAAGTAAGAAGACAAGGCATCCCCATCTACGCTGCAGACAACCAGCCAAAACGATTATGCTTCTAGCCAGAGGAGGAGGATGATCTGATGCACAGCAGTTACAATCAGAGGTTCAGAGTTAACAGTCCTACTTCAAACCAAACTGGACAGCATGTTCTGGGGTAAACCACTTGATCTTTGTTTGCTTTCTGATTTTTAAAATGAAAAATTTAACTTCAAGTATTACTAGAAAATGGTGAATTCAGTTTACTGACATTGTAGTAGTCCATGTGAGGAAGAGATCTATTTGCAGGGGGGTTGGAACTAGGTGATCTTACGGTCCTTTCCAATCCAAACCATTCTGTGATTCGTGTTCAAGTAAGAATGCTTTAACTGGAAGTATTTTTTCCTATTTTTAAAGGTATACGTAGATACAGGTTTGGGTAGGCAGTACTTAAGCAATGAAGAACCAGATCCTTTCACTGGTTGCTGGGAAGTCACATGAGGCCACATGTGCTGAGGTTGTACCTCTGTTTTATCAGAGTGATAGGAAAGGGTTCAGATTGACTGGTTGTTAAATACTTTTTGTTTGCAAAACCTTATCTTTAATTGCAGCAACTAATGACACTTAATTTCAAGCACATTAGGTGACATGAAGTCACTGGCTTTTTTAAAATGATTACAGCAAAAGCTTGATGTGGGAAAGCAGCAGGACACATTCTAGAAATAATTCTTTACCAAATTGTCTTTCCTTTCCTTTTGTTTTCACTGTACCTATAGTTAACAGTTGTAATTTCCCTTGTTTCCAACTTGAAATGCTATGTCAAGTCAGAACAACATTACTTTTCTTCAGAATAAAGGATGTGTTTTCAAACACCACAAACGAAGGGAAAAGCAGCAAACCCAAAATGACCTGACTACAATTTTATTTTAACCTAATTTACTACTTTGTGCTAGCTATTAAAAAGCTGTAAAACTCAATTAGAAACATCAGTTTTGTACATCCAAAGCTGTTTTCAGTGGCCACTCTGGAGACAGCAACTATTTAAGTCCACATCCTCAGAGCTTGTTAATCACCCATCTCACTGCAGTTGTTACCAGCACTTTATAAAGAGACTTTTCAAACATGAACTCAGCAGCACACTGCAACTGCGTTAGCACCCAGACAGACTTTAAGGATTAGGACTTCACTTTCCCATCACTATTAACCTATGAAGAGTTGGATTGTCAAGAACATCAGGGGAAGGGGAGCTGGGAGTGGTGTTAAAACAACAGTAAATACAAACTGAATCAGTAATGTTCAACCAAGCATGACTTGATACAATCCTAAATAATTGAGAGGAATATGGAAAAAGGACGTGACCAGGAAAAGAGAGTGCTTTAAATAGGTCCTGACACCGACTCATCTTTTGAGACTGGTAATTCCAGCAGTAAATTACCTTTTTTTTTTTCTTTCCACTTGTGTTATTCCCAACAAATCTTTACAAGTTGGGCTGTAATATAAAAGCAGATACAAGTGCTTCCTGGACCTATGCCTACAGTTTCTGATTACCTGTACCTCATGTTCACACATTCCCTAACCACACAACTTGACACAAATCCACGCCAATGTACTCTTGGGAAACCCCCTTGCTACCCAGCACAAGAAAGCCCTACAGTGAAGATGTAGTTAGACAAAAGCACAAGAAATAGGTCACGTGGAATAAACACAGCCTGGAGCAGGTGACATGAACCACAGAAGTTGTGCATGACTAACATACATGCTGCTGTCTAAAGATATAGACAGTATTACAGATTCATGCATGAGCTGAGGCGGCGCCGCCTACAGCAGGCCTGTGGCCAGTTGGACCTTGAGGATCTCTGTGGTTGGAGACTCCATAACCTCTGGTTACCTTTTCTAGTGCTTTGTCAACCTTATAATAAAAAACATTATCCTTTCTTTAAATGACATTTCTGGCATTTCAGTTTGTGCTCACTGCCTCTTGTCCTGTCTCTGGGCCCCACTGAGGAAAGTCTGCCTCCATCTTCCATGCACCTTCCTGTGAGGTATTTACACACTTTGCTAAGATCCTTTCTGAGCCTTCTCCTCCTGAGTCTGAACAGTCCCAGCTGGCTCATTCCTGGTGAAGCTTACTCAGCTTCATGGACTGTCCTCCTTTGCATCATCTAAATCTTTCTATCCTATCTATCTCATCTCTTTAGGGCAATACTTCCTTCTGGCCCATCTTTGTTTTCTCATCACACAACTTTTAAGGATGGTGCTTGTTGACAAGAATGCAGTAACATCTTCCTCCTCACAAAGTCCCCATTATATAAATTGCTTAACTGTCTAAACTGAGCTTTTACATCCATGAACTGTCAAGTTTTTTTGCATTTTCTGTGTTACCCATCAGGCATGGCTTCAATAGGATGAGTGATAAAATAATACAGCCATTGCCACATGGGCATAAACCTCAGGCAGCACTCTGTCACAGATGAGCACAGTGAAGAATGTAGCAGATCCACTCAGCTGAAACACACAAAGGTAGAGTTCTCCAAAACAGAAAACTTTCGAGAAAAACAAAAGACAAAACCATTATTGGAGAGTATTACAAAAGGTGTTTGGTAATGTGTATTGCTGTTATTAAAAACCCATTAACTGCATGGTGGCATACGTCTTGCATGGTGAGAATGCTGAGCCTTTGCAGCAGTACTGCACACCAGAGAATCTCAAGAGCTCTAGAGGAAAATAGTAGCCTTGGAACTCTAGAGACAGATGAGTTCCATTTCTCTTTACGAGTGTAGAACTTGTGATAGACCGGCAGCTCTGACTATCCCCACTAGAGGTCATAGAAGTAATTGCACTCCGGTATACTACGTGGAGGAGGAACAATGAAGTGAGCTACTTTTCCATGACGCAAGATGGGATCTTCTACTGCGATTCAAACATAATTCTTTTCTGAGATTAATATTAAGCTATTGCTATCCGGATTACTGCAGTGGCATAGCAGGTACTGCGTTTATCTGTAGGCAAAAGTTACTAGTGAGACTCAGACCAGCTCCCATGATCAGTAGTTTTGGAGATGAAGGTAACTAACTTAATTGGACACCTGAATAGAGGAGAAGCCAGATCTCAATTCAGATCTGCCAGAGGAGCAGACATTTCAGAAACTGCTGCTGAAATGAAATAGCAGCAGTAAATATTAACAGAAGAGACCTAGGTAGTAACTCCCAACACTAACATTCAATTCCTTCCGTCAGCCTTCAGCTCTAATTAAATGTTCAGATAGAATTACTGATCTGACTGACTGCCACCAGTGATTAACCAGATAATACTGATTTGTTCTAATTGCTCTACACTCTTTTCCTCAGTAACTGGCCTGGAAAAATGCAAATAATTGTGTTGTGACTGGCTCCTGCAGTCAGCATTTCTGAACTCTTTGCAAGGTCCGTCCAGCTTCAGATATTGTGTCAAGATGAAAGCATAGTGTGGGAAATCTCAGCCAGCATAAATAAATACTTCACTTTTGTTCATTACAGCATAATCATACTTGCCCTTTCCATTCACTTTGGAAATGCTTAAGTGAAAACCTGGCTTTAGTCAGAACTGGAGGTAAGTACTGTATTACACTGAAGAAGACTGTTTTGTCCTACTCTGAAAGATGTTAAAAAGAACACTGCAGTGGCTGAACAAAGCAGCTGACAAGCCTAGGCAACGGAAATCAAAACATCCAGTGAAGGTTTTTAAAACCAGAGTTCTCAGCACTGATAAGTGCTATGGGATATATTACCAGGTAGCTGCGAAAGAGGAGCAAAAAGAGCTTGTAAAGTGTAAGCCATAAAGCCTAGTCAAAAGGAAGAATTGTTTCCTGGCCACATTTAGCCATGAGATGGGCTGTGCCACACCTGGCTGTGTGACAGGTTAAGCAGACCCCTACTCTTGTAACAGACTTTAATCCAGAAAAGCCTGGGAGAACAAAAACAAACCACCCAAAAAACCAAAGCAGCAACCACACTTCCACCCCCCTTAATCTGCTGGTTTAGTTTTGAGCTAGGTCAGGTCCCCAGCAAGTGCAACACAGCCTACAACAGCCCTGTTAGCACAACTGAAAGAAGAAGCTGAGGGCAGACTGCCAGGGGGTAGGTGCACCAGCTTTGCCATTTCAGAAACATATCTGGAATCACTGCCTAAGGATGCTTAGCACCAAGGTTGCTTTTGATGGCACGGTCAGAATTTCAGACCTAGAGGGGTCTCTGTCAGTGCTGGTCTGAGTTCTGCTTAAGCTGTGTGTAAGCTTGTGGAACCCAAAACTGGTGCTAGAGAAGCACAAGTTGCCAGTACCTGTGCTGCTAACTAGATTCACACTAACCACAAAACAGGGATGTGAACGAGGTTACATGATAATACCCAGCATGCTACATTATCTGACATGGGCTGGAATAGCTGGGGGCTTGCTCTGTTTTGATGGCTTGGTGGGGTGTGTGAAAGGCATGACTCCAAGGGGGGTGGGTGGATTCTGGGCAGGAAAACCTGTCCAAAATATTAATCACTGACTAATTGAAAGACATCAAAGAGCCATGTAAACTTAATAGCCCCCTAGAAAATAATAATACTGTGTCTGAAAACACAGTAATTGTTCAGAACAGAGTAGAGCCAGCACATCCCTTGAGAAAAGTAGTAGTAGTTCATCCCTGACCATAAGCAGTTGGATCCGTTCATCTTACACTCATGCAAGTATCAGAACTGTCAAGTGTAAGTTTATGTATCTGAGAACGGAAGCCAAACTGCACTCACCATGTGTGACAGGATGATTTAAACAGCTGACCTTTTAAACAGTGCATGTTTTTACAGATACCACATCTCTACATCACTGAACTGGTTTTTAGATAATTTTTTAAATGTGTGAAATGTTATGAATCAGATGATACAAATCAGAAGGCACAGCTCTGCCAAACATATGAACTTTAGTTTTCCATTTCATTACCTAAACTAATATGATATATCAAAGGACAGTTATAATGTTAGCTCATTGTCTGCTCTGTTTGAGTGTAGTTTGAACCAGGTAAGCCTAAAAATATGAAGCAGGAACATAAGAAGGAAAACGGAAGTTTGCTTTTTACCCTTGAAGAAGCTAAAGGCTGACTTTGAAAATAGAACATTACTTCCCCATTATTCCCTCCCCCCCTCTTCCTTTTCAGTGTTACAGGGACTTCACAATGCAGTTATCAGAGGCTAACTGAGAATACATGCCTAGGTAATGAAAAGGACTGAAAATGGAAGTTTATAACCTAAACAAGACACCAACAAATCTCAGCTCCACGACAGCAGTCCCACAGTACATTACTATAATTCCAGAGTTAAAAATGGAAAACCAAGGAAGGATGTTACATTGTTAAAATGTAGCTGAAAAATTAATGAATCTTCTTTACCACTACCTAGTCTCTCTAATGTACTTTAGGGACTGGCGGGTTTGTTCCCAAGTCTGTCTCTCTGCAGCTGAACCACTGATGAAGTGGAAGGGATGCTGGCTGCCTGCCCAGGTTAACCTCGACATGCTGTGGCACATCAGTTCAACCTTCTGCCACGTGTAGTAGATTGCTAACTGGCCTCAGCCCACAGCATACCTGCTGTCTAGGTAGTCAAAGAGGGCTGTGTTGTGCTCTACAGCATGCAGGAGCACAAGAATCACAGTTGCATCAAGGAAGACTTCAGGATATCCATCACCCCTCTAGTTAAATAAAATTCTAATCTTACACAAAGTAAAGATCTGGAGATACAGCTTTTATTTTACTCCTACACCTACTCTAAGTATAGAGCTGATAGTTCTGATACAAAAGACAGATACATGGAAAATTTTCCATAGGCATCTCCAAGATGTTCAAGTATTTGTCAGTTTTAATTGATGAGTGTTGAGATGAACAGCTCAAATGGAGAAACATCTCAATTTCAAAATGTATGCATCAGAACACTGAAAATGGAATAAAATGACCCTACTATCTGTAAACTTTATTAACTTTTCTTTCCTTTGCTTTCTGGACTGGGATTGTAAAATGGAGATGAGGCCACCCATTTACCTCAGCCCCGCTCTGAATATTTAGATTAAATGAGAGCTGAATGCTGAGATACTATCATAAAAAAAGGTCATAAAAGATGGTTGATGAGAAGCAGGCTCCACCGCAACCTTATTGAATGACCTCAGAAAATACTGTTTCATGAAACAAAGGACACACAGCATGCTGTGGGGTGCTGTAGTAAACATTACAGTGGGATTGCTTTTAAACATGACCAGGAGAATTTTTCAGTGAGTGTATTAGCTTGCTTGCCATTTATGTATGAAATTTAGAGGTCAAGACCCAGAGAATCTGGGGTTACTCCAGCTGCTGATTTCTGCTGTCCCAACTTACACATTCCGATAATCCCCTGGTTACATATAAACAAACGTTTGTATATTGATACTCACAATATGGGCTGTTAAATGCTGTTGAGTAATGATAGCAATGTAAATGCCAAAATAACAGCATTTGGTTAAGAGGGAGCAGAGAGAAGGAAACCTCTCAAGGGATATTTTTTGTTCGTGTCCTATAATACTTAACTACTCCAAGAGTGAAAAGGGGAAGGTTTGGGGATATACTTGTCTACCCTTTTTCAGTATTTCACTGCTATTTGCAATACAGCATGTTAGAAATACTGGAGGAGCAATGCTTGTTACCCTTGCACAAGAACACCACCACAGGCCTAGGAATAGTGAACGAGTAGGATATACAATTTAGGACAGTACCTGCAATAGCTTGCAAGTGAGTGCAGGAAATGTATCCCACAATTCTTTGGTCCTGAGGTGTACTTCCCACTTGCACCTGGGAGGGAAGGAAGAAATAAAAAGGTGATTAATGGAAGAGCTCATACGACTCCACTTCCGCCCCAGCTGTGCAGCCTCCGTATATGGTATTGGCTTTTCTTTTCCCCCCCAGTCTTTCCATCTTGTCTCCATTTTGAAAGCACACACACTTGAAAATCCACTGGAGACACACACTGGGGCTTCCTGGGGTTGCACTGCCACAAGCACGCTGCCTCCCGCCTGATCACCATGTCAACCTTTCCATTTCGATGTGCAACACATGCAAAATGTGACCTTTGCAATCCTACTAGTTCTCTGTCCCAGTTGCACTGCTGCCTGTTTGTATTCCTCCTCTTGTTCATGTGCAGGATTCAGGCCCACCGCTGAAGTTCCATGTAATACTGATATTATCAACAGCCTTAATTCCTGCTCTCTCTGTAAGACCAGAATGCAGAAGGACAATATGCCAAGGGAGGCTGGGGAAAAGGATGAAATGTGAAATAAATACTGGTTTTGACCATGTTTTCCCTATTCCACAGCAAGCTTTAGATTTTGATGGATTTTTTTCCATTTTTCTACAGAGGTGTTAGGGATTTTTGCTGTGCCTCAGTGAAGTTTTACATTCTTCAGCGCACAGCTGCAGCCCCCATGTCTGTCAACCAAATGAAAATAACATGTGCTGCTGCTCTTACTCACAGAAGAGACAGGGCTTCCAGGGAAGCTGGAACATTGTATGATTCTTCATCTATATTATGTGCTACAGTCTTTTAAAAATATATCTGCTGGTAAACACACAACCAAATCAGAATCAAGTTTTGGTTTAGGTTTTTACCTCTATTGAAGGGTTTGGCAGCTCAGGACTTACACAGCTGCAAATCAGAATTCCCAGTGATTTGAGGATCAAGATTTGGTTTGAGGCAAGAAACTAATTTAACCATATGGTTTTCCTTTTCACAGTTAGCATGGCAACACTGCATGGACTACTAAAGGAAATGCCCACAGAGGAAAGTTGTAGCCAGGGCTCAGAAAACAAAACCACAGATGACTCTTCTTCACAAGGCTTGTCTCAGATTTCATCTGACATCTCTAACTAACAAGCAGAGCTCCATTTCATACAGACACAGTTTTGTCGGCTTGGTTGGTTTTCTTGTTTTTTTAGCTATCCAAGAACCACCTGATTCATTTTATAACTGGAAAGTCATCTCTGCAGTGGGTGAATTTGGAAGTTATTTGTACTCAACAATACCTTGTTAACTTTCAAGTTTTGTTCCCACTAGCAGATTATGTAATAAACAACTTGTGGTATTCTGTCCTCAGCCTGTTCTGTCCTCATTTAGACACCTTTCCAAATGGTGTTCTTGATGGTGTTCTTATTGCTGTGCCCATACAGTTCACCTGCTTTGGGGAGGGTGAACGTAGGGAAAGACAGGGAAAATAAATGCAGAAACTGGTGGATCCACTGGTTAAGCCAGAGGATTCTCCTGAACTTGTAAGACTGTAGCAGAGTCTCAGAGGACATCCTGATCTGCTGGATGGGTGCTTGTGACTACTGCAGATGCTTCACTATGCAGATCTCTTTCTTCCTCCCTCAGGCTGCCCCAGTCTGAATATATTACAATGTCACAGATGAATTAAAAGGATTGTTCTCTTCAACTTTTTCCTGCATCATACGCCATTCCAATAGAAAAGTGAGAAACCACCAATTTTTATCCTCCACTATTTAGGGGAGGCAGATGTATCAATTGTATTTTCCAAATGTAGTAACTCAGAATCAGATTTTCTCTTCAACACTGAAAACTACGTACTGTAATGTCTGCTAGTTTACAAATGTGCAGTGTCTCCTGCTGCACAGAAAAGTGTGCGTTGAATGTCTTTCTGTGTCGCTTACTGTAACCACACTGAAGATACTGCATGTAGTTTCCTGCCTTATAGCAAGAATGTGCTGCTTGTAATCCTCATATTAACCACAACAGATGGAATCATTGTCAGTGTCTGTATCCAAAAAGCATAAAAGATTTAAGTCTAAAAGCTGAACATCCAAACATAGGTTTCAGTCAGTTGAGAAAAAAAAGTCAACTCAAAATGGCTTTAGAATTCGCTGTGTAGCCTTAATGGAGTGCCTTAAAAGGCCTCATACTCATCAGCTAATTAATGCATAGGATCATCCTCATTTGCATTAAGCATAAATAAATACATTGCACACTGTGTCCCTGTGTGCACAGATCTATGCTGAAATGGTCTTGGGATCTTTCACTCTCAAAGAAAGACTGACTGTCGCTACAGGCATCTGGGTGAGTGCAACAAATGCCCCTTGGGGTTACAACACGGAGGAACAGTGCCCCAGGGCTCTGCACTTGCTGGTAACAAGGGTTGCTTTACACACCCCCTGTGGGGGAAAAGGAGAGGGCCTTTCCTAAGGACTCTGCTAATTAAAAAAAACCCACACACAACTCAAAAGCATGAGCTAAAGACATTAAGATAATTAGAATTAAGGATGGAAGTGACAGCCTGGAATTACATCCAGAGCAGCTTGACTCCCACGTTTCCTCCAGTGTTTTTGACTTTTGGTTTGGGGTTGGTTTTGATTGTTTGTTTTCGGTGGTCCAACCGGAGACCTTTTGAGTATAATCATAATGGAGGCAAATATTTGTGACTACTACTAGGAGAGAAAATAAATATCCTTGCAGCTTCTTAGTCAATTCCCAGCTACAGCAGAAGCACTAGTCTGTTAAATACGATCTGAAATAAAATAGTAAGGAAAATGTAATTATTCAGTCTAATTTGGTATTTCACAGAGGGACAAGGACTATGGGATGTGCAGTCAGGAAAACCACTTAACCTCTAGAGTATTACAAGCCCTGTAATTCTGCACAATACCATTCCTTTGTGTGACCAAAGAGTGTAGCTACTTTTAGACTGTTCTATTTTCAAGGGTATGTTATGTTGTGGTGACTTGGCCCAAACAGCTACGTGGCAGTCTTGCAGGAAGGCAACACTGAGTGTTCACTTCAGCCTGGAACAGGATTTGGCAGAAAGGTTCCACTTCCATCAAACCAGGTCATTTCACAAACATAACTATTTTTGCTGCTTAATACAGAAAAAACTTCTAAATTCACATTTGCAAAGAAAATACATGTAAGCAAATAAGCCAGAGTGGCTCCTTCACCATAAGCCTGACTAAAGTTCACCTCAACTGTTTGACAGTAGCAGCAATGTGTCAATAATACATTCACTGAATTACCCTTCTGCAGGAACTACTTCATATACAGCTTTCTAAAAATCATTGTATAATCTTAGTCGTGTTATGAAGCACTCTTCTATTTCTATGGAAATTCAAAGAAAGGTAATATCTAAATGTATTTACAGCTTGCCTATGTTTTAAAACAGGGTAATTATTACAAGAGGAAAAAATTGTATGTGTTATCCTGTTAAACTCTGATGTTACCTAGAGGTAAAATTAGAACATATGCGTGGTTTAATAAAGTGCCCCACTTATGCAGCTTTGACAGAAACAAATGAACATTTTTCCATATTATGCAGAAATATGCAAAATATATTCCAGTAGAAAAAAGTTAAGTATAATTATTTAACTTCACAAAAGTTAAGTAATCAAACTAGTCAAACATTTGGAAACTAGGAGTGGATTTGGTACACCAGTGAATATTACATTTTGTTTGCTGTTGTGGGGACATAGAAAGTTCCTTACAGATGAGAAAGGAGCTATTTTCTGTAAAGGGGAAAGCCTGCTAGGTTGTATTTGGAATTCAAAACATCAGTTTCTACTGCTACATGTTTGCATTTGACCCCTGCCTATAAATAAGAAGTGCAAACCTGACAGCTCTGAACTTTTATCGGTAACTTCAAGTACTTTTCTCTGTGCCATAGCACCTTAGTACAAGCTGTTGGAGAGACCACATCAGCTGTGCTGTACTGCACAAAGTGGTGTAAGTTCCTGTAGTTGTGTAACAAAAACTTGTCATGTGTCAACTGAGGAGGAGACTGGTATCAGGTAATACACTGTGCTCGTGAAAGACAGCAAACCCTCAGGGCTACAGCAGGAAGATTCTTCTTGACAAGAAAAAAAAACCCCCAATATATAGCAAAAGTTGAAATTTTAGCACTAGAGTGAAGGAAATAACTTGAAATTCAATCACATTACTTGCTGTCATGAGAATTTTCTGAGTTAAAGGAAAAATCATGCACAGCTCATGTTTACCATGTATAGTAAGTATACAAAGCTGCAAACATGACAAATGTCTTTATGTTTACGCAGTTCTAATGTATCTGGATATCAAGAAGAGCATCAAGAGATACTTCACTATAGAAAACAGGAAATGCTACCTAAATACCAGCAGTGTTTCAATACCAGCTTAAAACCCAGCTTCAGACATGTCATTGCTGTGTTAATAAATCATCAGCTACTTAGAAGGAAATGTTCTTTAATGCTTAAACATTTGGGCTGTGCCATACATGAGAAATCCCACTCAAGGAATCAAACTAGATTCTCAAACACTAACTCTTCACACACAGACATTACACGTAGACAAAACCAAAAGGTTTGTTGTGAGGGAAACTTAATTAGTTAGACATTTTCTAGAATCTTCACATTATCAGGAGGTAGACACAAAAAAATCCAAAAGACAGTTTCTTTGTGCATGAAGGGTTCATACACAAACAATTCTGAGCCAGTGCTTCTTCCATCATGGGAAGCAAATCCAGGTGAGCAAACCAGAAGAGAGCTAAAATTTTGGTGTACTCCTCGAAAAAGAACTCACAGAGTTTACCACCCCACAGCCTACATGTGGACAATAAAACCAAAGCTGGAAGGGTAAATAATCTGAATGCAACATTAGGAATCCTTCAGGGAGATGAGCGCTGCACCGAATTGCTCTAGCTTCAGCTGTTACAGTTTCATTACATCGTGGACTATAAATGAGCAAACCCCTTCATTTCATCAGATCAGTTGACTATGAAGGTGTCAGTTTTGCACTGGAATAAATGTGAACTGTAGTACTGATT